TTTCTCTTTGCTTACCTAGCCATACCTGCAATACCGCATTCATCCAAGTATTATAACTTAAAAATGGGATTTTTAAAAAAGAAAAGCCACCAGTGACATACACAGCTGAGCCCAGTTTATGTCCAAGACACAAACACTAACTGATCCAAGATTTCCCTCTAAACGAACAAGCAGCACGGATGCCCGAGGCCTGGACACAGCCACAGCGGGACAGCACGGATGCCCGAGGCCCGACATGGCCACAGTGGGGCAGCACGGATGCCCAAGGCCTGGACACAGCCACAGCGGGACAGCAAGGATGCCAGAGGCCCGGACACGGCCACAGCGGGACAGCACGGATGCCCAAGGCCTGGACACAGTTACACAGGTTTGTGATGCAAACCTAACTGGCTAGAGGAGGCAGGGAGCATCATGAAGCGGTCCTGAGGAAGAACTCTCTCCATCATCCCCAACTGCTCAGTTCCGTGAGGGAAGGATGCTCTCCGAGCCCCTCAGGACCGCCGTCCGCTGCAGGGGTGACAACAACACCCCTCCACGCGCAGGCACGAGCGCCCAGGACGGATGCGTGAACATCCCGACTGGGAATCCTGCCCTTAACAAACACACGCGATGCAGATACATGATTTCTTGGCTGCCTATCCGCACAGCCATCTGTCAGGATGGCACTGTGCCTGCTCACATGTTGGTCAAACTGTCACTAGGGCATAGGTGCCAAGCAGTGGTAGTTTAAAGTGGGCACAGCTCTATAAGAGAAACATCAATGTGGTAAAACTGAAGGACCGCGACCTAAAGCAAAGACCTGACCAATTTCACCATTTCTGCAGGAAAAACGCAGACTAGCTGATAAGACTGAAGCCAAGGATGCTCAAACAGAAAAAGCTCCCTGCAGACACGTTGCAGCAAAGCTCCTCACGCTGCCACGCTGGAGGCACACACAGCCCAGTGACCTCTGGGGCAGCGAGGCCCTGTGCTCAAGCAGTCACCACGGAGCCTGCGGGCCGTCCCAGAGGAGGAGCTGAGCGCACTGACCCGCAGCACTGCCGCACTGCTAAGTGCTTCTGGCGGCCTTCTCAGGAGCGAGAGATCTAACTCACAGCCAAGATAATCCTTTAGTAGCAAAAACAGAAAACAAACGAAACTCCAAAGGACAAACAGGACAAAAAAAAAAACTTTTAAAAAGTGTAACTTCAATGGAGAAATAAAATAAGAGCAGAAGTAGTTGCTTAGAAAACAAAAAACTCAGTATTTCCAGTCATAAATTTAAAAATTAGGTCTCTGGGGCAGCTCAGTGGAGAACGGGCAGTCTTCTGCAACAAATGGTTTTGGAACAATGGGATGTGACACACAAAAAGAAAAAGAACCAAGATTTAAATATCACTTCTTTGCAAAAATCAACCCGAAATGGATCACAGGTCCAAATACAAGATGTGCAATAATGAAAAACTGAAAAGGGCAAATAGCCACTGTCCCGACCTAAGGTCAGCAGGCAGTGCTGAGCCTCGCTCCACACCCAAAGGAATCCTCCGCTCACTGCGGGCTCCACGGCACGGGAGCTGAGACAGCACAGAGAAGCCAGGGGCGGGGAGCCGGGCTCGCACTCGGCTTCCGTGCTGAGGCACTTGAATCCTGTGTCTAAAGAGCACTGTCAACTCAGCCAGGAGCAAACAACCCAATGGGCAAGACGAGTCATCAAAGAGGACATGGAGGGCAAGTCCACACGGAGCGATGAGCCACTACAGAGACCCAAGGTCAGGCGAGGCAGACACATCCATTGCCACACACTGGTCCTCCAGCAGGCGACCAGCAAAATCCAACAAGGTAGTCGTAACACAGCACCGCACTGGCACAGTGTCAGGTCACGGCATCTCTGACGGGCCTCCACTTGCAGCTTCTTCAGTGTGTACAGTTCCGGGACAGCCGATAATGTGTGGATGTGCAGAATCAGGACACACAACTGGTCTACCATTCTAAAGAAACTCAACTATGACCCCAACAAGAACCGGTCATCACTGAGCACAGCACTGCGGTGCTGTGGGAGAAGCCACTGCCTGCCGCTTCTGGGACCGCCTGTGCATGCTGCTTTGTGTTCTGGTTGAGCTGCTTCTCACCCGGCTCCCGTGCTTGGGCCTCTGCCACCCACATGGGGAGACACTACGGAAGCTCCGGGCGCCAGCCTGCCCAGGTCTGGGCACTGCAGCCACCTGCGGCATTAACCAGCAGATGGAATGTCTTTTCTCCCTCTTCCCCTGCCGCTGACTTCAAAATCAACATTTTTTTCTTTCTTTTTTTAAAGGTCATTTCTATTTCTATGCTGTCATTTCAAGAATGGCCATAGCATATATCATTTAGGCATTCACCTTTTGAAGGCCAAACGGGCTGGTTCTGGGTTAGGGCCACGTAAACACAGCTTCCCGCATAAGCCGGCTCCGGAAAGGTCCCGGGCTGTCTGCTCCCGCGTGTAACTTCTGAGAACCAACCAAACTCACGCCTGAGTGGCTGCCCAGTGCACTCCCCACCAGCAACACCTGACAAAGTCACAGTTTCTAAAAAAACAACAAGAACCCTCTTAGATATAACTTAAAGTTTATCTTTTTAATTATCAAAGTCTCTTTTACCTCTTTCCCAAATAATGGGCTTTTTTTTTTTATTATCTCTCTAACAAGACGCCATATTACATCCCAGACTGCAGAAAGTAGCAGAAAGCAAACTCTGGCCCCACGGCAGGAATGGCAAAAGCTGCTCTTCTTACAGACTGGCCAACACACGGGCTCTGCTGCGAGACAGGGTGACACGGCCACGCTCCTGGTGTGACGGTCTGAGAAGAGCAACTGCTGTGGAGAAGAACTGAAGCTCCCCCAGCTGTCTGAGCAGCTCCACCACCGTGCAAGGCTTCGGCCTCCCTGGCGAGCTGCTGGAGAATGTTCTCTGCCTGGGCTAAAACAAGACGCCAAGTGGGCAGCGGGCATCTCCAGGCACGTGCAAACAGCAGCTCAACAGCCAGGTGGCAAAGAAAAGGAAAGAAATGCATAAAAATAAGAAAGTCCCCCAACCACACTGGGCAGCCCATCTCACTAACCTGAGGGGCGGGGCACAGCCCGGAGCTTTCTAGAGGGCTTTTTGCTTGTTTCCCATCTTGTCTGGAGCCAGAATGGAAGGAGGTATCTGAGTCTCACTCCCACTCCCCACCTAAACTCACCCCCAAAGATGTTAAACAATGCGGGGAGAGACGGAGCAGCAGTGATTGAGAAAGTGCACAAAACTATTTTGAACCTCAGCCTGCGACTACAGGGCGCCCACTTTGCATCTTGGGAACAGCAGGTGGCAACAGGCACAGAAGTGTGGGTCACTGCAGAGGTCCACCTGGCAGGTGCTATGGCCTTTACAAATTACTCTTGCATTCTCACATGAAAAGAAAATTCTTTATTTGCTACATTTCATCATAAACAGCGCAGGTTTCAAATCTGCCTTCTACACTCACTGGCCTGTACTAAGACAAGGGAAACTCATTTCACAACAGACTTCGCACCTTAGCACAATTCCTGGCAAACAGGCACCGACCGCTGATAACTGAATCCACTTCTCTCTCTGGGGGAAAAACCACCTTGTACTGCCACGGAGGACGGCCTACGGGTCTTTGAGATCTGCTGATCCATTCTCAGAATCTACCAGCCCAGCTTTCCCACAAGCCTCCACACACACACTCAGGCAGCACCTGCACAGCTGCGTAAGCTCCGGAGTCCTCCTTGGCTCACAGCAAGGTGACTCCTGGGGCTGTGCTCCGTTCTCAACCCAGGTTCACTGTACACAGCAGAACCCTACCGTATTAGGGGTAACAAGAAAAAAAAAGTTGTCAAAATTAAACTCGCTTTTTGTCTTTTCTAGACATGTGGGACGTTCATTTATGTGTTTATTTGTTATTTCACGTTAGTTCTCAAGTTAGAAGAAAAAGGTTGGCCTATTTCAAGAGATTTAATTTTAGGGTCTGCCAACATTGTGAATGCCTTACCGTTATTTTTAAAATATACACTTGTATCCTGGAACAAAGCTCGGCAGAAGCTCCCCCTGTAACCATTTCCTGGGCGGGCACTCGCTCCATGCCAGCTTCTGCGTTTAACACATTGCTCCATCATCTCATTTGTTTAACAAATATCCTCTCCTAATTTTTGCAGCACGGAGCTCCGTAGCAAGAAGCCATTACTCGGTAAAGCAGTTTTGTACCGGGAACTGTAAGAGGAGGGACAGTAACAGCCGGCAGGAGCGTTCGGTGATGAACTTAGCCGTGCTGCGGTGCAGCGCGGCTGAGCGGCCTTTCCAGCAGTAGGGTCAACGCAGCCATGACTGACCACAAGGATGAAGTCGCATGGCCACACGCCATGAGCGTAAACAACCCTGGCTTGGCGCTTTATACCAGCGGACTAAATTCTCCCCAGGTATCATGAAAACGCAAGGTGCCTTTACTCTTCAACTCTGACACTGCACTCCTACTCTGACGAACGGCAGCCTCAACAGACGGGGCAATTCCGGGGGGGGAGCTGGGATTGTTGCTGTTGTTTTTCCCCCTTAAGACACATCATTAATGACCCTCTTCCGCAGTGTACTGCCACCTTCCCCATCACAAAACCGGTACTCGCGCGTCCGCCCAAGAGAAAGCAGAAGCAAAGAGAACGGAAGTGTTCTCGAAGGACGAGAAGGCGAGACTCGGAGCGCAGCAAGCGGAGAAGGCGGTGGCCCGGCAGGCCCTCGGGACCCGGCTCGCCCACGGGGCCCGGCTGCTCCCCTGCGTGTGGGACTGCAGCAAAACGCCGAGCTGCAAGATCAGCACCAAACGCGGCCGCGGGCGCCGAGGAAGCGCAGGTGCACCTGCCGCCAGAGGCGAGCCCCGACCCTGCGGCCCTGCGCGCCGGGCCGCCCCGCCGCCCGCACGGGGCCACCCGCCGGCGGCCGACCCGCGCCCCGGCCGGCCTCGCGCCCCCGGGCCGCGCCGCCCGCGGCTGCCCTACCCCAAGCCGCAGGCCCGTCCGCCTCCTGCCCAGTACGAACTTCCCGCCGCTCCCGCCGACTCGCGACACAGCAGCAGCGACGCCGGCCCCTGCCCACCCTGCAGTATGCGGCCTTCCCATTGGCTGTGCCGCCGGGGGAGGCGGGCCCAAGGAATGCTGGGATCGGCGGCGAGCGCTCCCTCTGCATCCTGGGAGTTGGAGTCCCTAAGCTACCCCTAGTCTCCCTGCTCCCTGAGGCTTCTGGGAAATGCAGTTTGCAACCTCGGTTTCCGCAGCCATCAACGCTGCAGGAACTGAAATGAGTACCGCCAGTTCTGGGGCAGCGTCATTTATTAACATTTACAACCGGCTTGCGTGTGAAATGAATCTTAGGCTACTTTGGCTGAAGGTGTGTCCCCAGCGTCCCTGAGCGCGCTCGCGTCTTGCCACGCTCCCTCCCACCACCCGGAAGGCTTGTCCCGTAGCAGGGTGCAGCCACACGTGGTTCCAAAAGTGGACAGTCTGCAATTCTAGCCCTTCCTCGTCTTAGGTGTTGCAACTCAAGGGAAATTAGTTATGTTCTGCATCTCTGTGTCCTGTGTCGGGATTCAAGGAGCTAGTCGGCGCAGTAGGAGGTCTTAGCAGCAGTGTGCCATCCCCAGTCACGTGTCTAAACCCTGTTCGTCAAAGCCTTGTCCAAGATGGACCCAGCCCTCTGGGCTATTTCGTCTGCAGTTCTCTTACTGCACAGCTTGCGTGGAAACCCAGCTGCTCGAGGCTTCCGCACCTGTGAGATACCGAGAGCCCATGTTCCTGAAATAACGGCAGTGGAGGCTTGCCGCGGCTGGGGAAGCTCAGCTTTGACACCTCACCTGCCAACGCCGAGTGACCGCATTCTGAGATGCTGCTGCTGTGCTTCGACTCCGGGATGCTGGAGACCTCTGGCAGTAATTCATGAGTTGCTGGACTGGTAGGAAGACCAGGGCTGCGCTGAAGATTGTCCCATGAGGATTTGCCGCTTCCGGGCTTTCAACGTTGAGCAGTGAGGACCAGTGTGACAGCCCAGCGGGTTGAGTCACCGCCTGCCACGCCAGCATCCCATAGCGGAGCAGCGGTTCCCACCCCAGCTGCTCTGCTTCCTGTCTAGCTCCCTGGGAAAGCAGATGATCCAAGGGTAAGGCCCCTCCTGTCCATGTGGGAGACTCAGCAGAGTGCCAAGCTCCTTGCTGCTGTGGTCATGTGGAAAGTGAACCAGCAGATGGAAGAACTCTCCTCCTCCACCATGTCTCTCTGCCTTTCAAATAAATAAATACAGCTTAGAAAGAGAAAATAAGAAATAAATTGAGAATTGAAGGGAGGCAATATTCTTGCACATAACCCTGCCTGTGTGCAGTGTAGCTGAATAGCCCAAGCAGGCATTTACTGGCCACCCACAGTAAGCCTGGGATGGAACTGAACTCCGGACATTCTAGTTTAGCTGAGGCCTAGGAGGCCCTGCTACTTGACAAGCGCAGGGTTTTTGCCACATATTCCCCAGTTCATCAAAGGAAAAGTGGAAGGTTCGGGACCAATGCCAAGGCTCAACGGGCTCACCCTCCCCCCTGTGGCATCAACATCCCACATAGGCACCGGTTCGTGTCCCGGCTGCTCCACCTCTGCTCCAGCTCTGCTTGCGGCCTGGGAAAACAGCAACACATGGCTAAAGTCCTGGGACCCTGCACACACATGAGAGACCCAGCTGGCTGTGGTCAGCCGCCCTGTGCTACTGCAGCCGTTAGGGAAGTGAACAGCAAACACAATATCTCTCTCTCCTCTGAAAATCTGCCTTGCAAATAAAAAATAAATCTTTAAAAAAATTTAGCCTGGTGATCTCCTCCAATCCTCCATGGATGAGGGCAATTCTTGCTAAGAACCCCTTCCTGCCGGTGACCCTTGAACAGGTGCATGCCAGTGGCTGTGAGTGCTACATCTATCCAACAAGGGAAACCCAACAAAAACTCAGTGGGATCTGAATTGATTTGACCACGTAGTCAGGCCCCCCCGAGGATGCTTCTCTATTTCCGGGAGCCGTTCCAACCCTGGTTGCTCTAGCGCCGAGGCCTGAAGAAATGAAAAGCGTGCAGAACTCTTTGAGAAAGAGAAAGGAGCTTGGTGTTGGCTCCAGCATGGCAGAAACTCCTCCTGTAAAGTTTAGACAGACCTGCCCAGCAGGTAAGCCAGCAGACATGAAGCAACCCTGAGTCAGTCCGTCAGTCCTTGATCTTGTTGCTTTCATCTGGAGAATGGGAACAGATCTCCTCAGGGAGCAGAGGAGGCCGTGTCTGAGACTGGCTTTGATCTATCTGGGCCAAGGCCGCTGGGCTGTCATTACTCCGTGTAAGCAGCGTGACAACAGCACGCCTGGGCCGGGGGCAAAGGAGAGGCAGAGAGAGCAGAGTGTAGGCATGGGTGCCCTGAGTGTAGGCATGGGTGCCCTGAGTGTAGGCAGGGTTGCTCTGAGATCCCCAGCCCTGCTGTGGATCCTCCACCATTTGGATGCTTCATTTCATCTCGACAACATGAAGAAGCTAAATAGGGAGCTTGGTCAGAAGAAATGGGAGACGTTTTTTCAAACTTTGTGCAGCCCTGCATCGCGACTCTGTCCCCTGTATCTGTCAGCTCCCATGATGGCCTCGTGTCTCATCGGAGCCAGGAAGACACCCCCGGTAAGCACAGGGAAGTTAAGCCCCGTGTGGAAGCGCCGTGGCACTCGCAGAAGCTCCCACGAGCCCGAAGCTCAGCCCTGCGTTGCGCCTTAGTGAGGGTCCCTCCCACCTGACCCGAGCAAGTGGCCCCTGGGCTTTCTGGCTCCCGCATCTTTGCTTTGATGTGGTTCTCGGCCTCTCCCAGGCTCTTGCCTCTCAGGCCCATTCATGGCAAATTCCTTTCTCCCGTGGCAATTGTTCACTCTTTTATTTTTAATTTATTTTATTTTATTTTTATTGCAAAGTCAGATATACAGAGGAGGTGAGACAGACAGGAAGATTTTCCATCCGTCCACTGATTCACTCCCCAAGTGAGCGCAACGGCCAGTGCTATGCCGATCCGAAGCCAGGATCCAGGAACTTCTTCCAGGTCTCCCACGTGGGTGCAAGGTCCCAAGGCTTTGAGCCATCCTCGACTGGTTTCCCAGGCCACAGGCAGAGAGCTAGATGGAAAGCAGGGCAGCCGGGATTAGAACTGGCACCCATATGGGATCCCAGCATGTTCAAGGTGAGGACTTTAGCCACTAGGCTACTGCACTGGGCCCAATCTCTCTTTTCAATAAATCCTGCTCTTACTTCAAACCTCTGCTTAAATGTGGAATAAAACTGGAGAGACTGCTGTCCATGACTGCAGAGTTTCTGAGTCCCCGCCAGCCCCAGCAGCAGGTGGGAGACACATCGAGGGAGTCAGCTATGCCAGCCAATTCTAGAAACTGTGTCTTCATTTTTTTTTTTTATTGGAAAGGCAGATTTACAGAAAGAAGGAAAGAGAGAAAAAGATCTTCCATCCACTGGTTTACTCCCCAGAGCTGAGCCAATCAAAAGCCAGGAGTTTGTCTCATGACTCCCACACGGGTGCAGGGTCCCAAGACTTTGGGCCATCCTCTCCTGCTTTCCCAGGCTATAAGCAGAGAGCTGGATGGGAAGTGGAGCATCCAGGACACAAACTGGCACCCCTATGGGATCCTGGTGCTTGCAAGGTAAAAATGTAGCCATTTAGCCAATGTGCCAAGCTTGAACCTGCATCTTGTATGAGCTCGTGTCCCACACGCTGGGAAAATGATCCAATGGCGACCTCAGTGTCCAAACAGGCACCAAGCAAGAGAAATGGCCTGCTTGACACAACGTGACTCCATTAGTAGCCACAGGAGTTGGCCAAGTCCAGTCCATCCCAGTATCAACCCCAGATGCTGATGCTGGGAAATGTGAGGGCAGCGCTGAGAGGAGGCACAGGCTGCAGGAAGCTGGCACCTGCCGGCCCAGTCCATAGGAGGTGTGGTAAGTACTTACTCCTCATATCAACGCCTTTTGTGCTCAGAATGCCTAAAGCCGTTACCTGTGTGCTGTGTTCAATTCTGACCAACACGGGGGGTGGGGAAGCTGACCCTGATGAACTCGTCTCTCAGCAGTTCTGGGATGCCAGGGTCTCACATTTCACTCTCCGGAAATCAGGATGCGTGTTGCAATTCATGCCAATTCTAGTGGGCAAGGTTTTACATTGTCGTAATTGAATGGGGCTCCTACACTTACCAGGTCTTGGCGTTGAGAAATCCCAGGACACCTGATGCTTGTTGCTTTAAAACCTCTCTCCTCTTGATTCTGTTTCCCGTTTCTTGCGCTGGGCCTGTCACTGCCAGGCCCCCATTCTGTTAGGCCTTCGCTTTCCAATCCACGCTCTGAAAATGGAGACAAACACCCTGAGAGAGAGAAGCCATGTGGGATTGTAACGGGACACAAGTTGGTGAGTGAAGCAGACCCAAATCTGAAAATCTCCCTGCCATTTAATTCCTGTGTGACCTCCTATCAGTTTTCAGCCACGCTGAGCCCCCCACCTCATCCGCACATGGTAGCAGCTGACAGGCTAACAGGAGACAGGCTCTGTGAAGCGCTCGGCCCTTGGTGAGCCCTTGTTGGAGGTTCTTTGCTTCTCCTGCTCGCCCTTGCTCGCGGCCAGCCTGGGCTGTGCCTTTCACATCACTCCATCTCCAGGAGCCACGCAGCGAGCAGCTGTCATTAGTTATTGTCGGAAGCGAGACGTAGAGGCAGGTCAAATACCCATACATGCTCAGAACCAGCTGCCAAGTCGCAGACTGGGGAAGGAGGGAGAGCTCTTGGAAAAACAAAAGCAAATCGTTGCTTTTATGTTTGCAGCCATCCAACTCTTGTCATGTTTTGATTTCAGGGCTGCTCCAAGATTCTGGGACAAAAGACACTATATATAAGCATTATTATGAGATTCAAAGGAGCTGTGAGCAAAACAAAATCCTTTTATTACAAAGAAAATTGGAGAGACTTGTTGCCAGATATAGTTACTGTGTGGAAAAATGCATTTTTTCCTTTTTTT